AGAGAAGAATAGACAGAAGCGCTCCAGCCATGAAGATAGAAAAGACACAATTCAGAGATGGAAAATGCCGACAAAGCCTCAGCATACCAGCAGACAGCAGCTGCGGGTTGCTGAAAGATGCCCAGGACCAAACCAGAGACGGGCGGACCTGCATTACCACCATTTGTCAACCAACCAGATCTGAAATATCATGGCTGGCATGTACACATAAGGAACTATCTGGCATTGAAATTGGGATGCAAAAGAACTGTTGACCCAGAAAGGAACTCACTACAGACTGATTCATTTGCCTCTCAGCATAACCATTATGGCTTGTTGCAGTTTAGGTTCTTATAAGGGTATTTCTTGAATCACATGATTTCACACATCTAGAGGAAATAATGAACAATATAAACAGACCCAGAGAAAGAGAACCAGTGATCAGACTCTCAAACCTCAGAGGGAAAGTAAGGGAGGATGGGGGTAAGGGGAAGAGATCAACCAAAGGACTTGTGTGCATACATATGGGCCTAGCCAGTGGCCATGGACAACGGGGGTTGGGGGGGCATATCTAGGGAGGGGTTTGGGATGGGAATGGGGGAATAAGGACAATTATGTGAGACCATAATCAATAAAAAAAATAAAAATAAATTTTACCCCAAGAAGAACAAGGCTTAATGGGGGTTGAGTCACAGCAGAAAAACAAAACTTCAATGATTAATTTCTATATTTGAGGATAAAGGAAGAGATTTTTTCCTTTGCATATTATAGAGGAGCTAGGACTAACACCACCTATGAGCAAATCTTGCTCTGATAGGCTGCTAAAACAAAAAGGAAAATAAGAATTGTTGTATGTTCCCTGAGTTGTGATTTCAAGCCTCTTTGTGCTAGAGGTGGTCTCACTTGAGAGTCTACTAGACATTACATGGTCTCTGCCTCTGGATTCTGTCAGGGAAAAGGTCCCCAGCCTGCTCTCCCCATTAATATTCCACCTCCTTTAGCAACAGCAACTCACATTTTCCCAACAAATAGACTCTGTGAAAAAGTACAAGTGAACTTAGGACTAAAAAATTAACAATAATTGATTAGCTCATTTGAGATATCTGGCCACTAGATGCCATCATTTAATCATAGGCCAATATTTAGGACTTCTCCTTTAAATTATAAACTATAAGTATATGTATTTGGGGAAAGGGCCCTGGAAAACAACTAAAAATCTCTGGAACAAATGCCCAGGAAAGCCTCAGAAGTTTGAAAGCAGAAATGTATTTCAGGCAACTGTTTCAGTGAGGGCTGCCCAGTGGGAACTACAGAATAAAATGTTCTCCATACATGTATATTATTTTCATAATTAATAACCAGTTACCAATTAATAATTAATAACCAGCTTTCAGACACTGCAAACCAAGATACTTGCAGAATCTTTGTTCCCATTTCTCTCCAACTAGATTGATACCCTTCCTAGAGGGGCAGAGCAAGGTTGTTTTATACACCCCAACCTCAGAGCAATGTGGATGAGCTTCTCATAGTCTGCTGAAAAAGAGGGCCCAATGGGTAAAGCAATTATTTTAAATTGAAAGATATAGAAGTTACTAAATCTGAATAAGCGCCCACATTTTCTTTTTGGGAGCATAACCAAAGGATGATTCAGACAGGGAGAAAGGCAGCAGGGTCTAAGAAATGAAGAGTCATGAGATTCCAGTTTTATTCCTGGCTCTACCCAAGACTTGCCATGTGACCACCAGCAAGCTCCTTCTTCTCAGCTGGTCTCTCAGTTTTCCCTTCTTTAAAAGGAGACAGTCTTATCTACATCTTATAATTTACTCCATGATTTCCTTACAAGAGGGGGAAAGAAGGGTATATATAAAGTATAGCAAAAGGCTAAAGGTGTGCTAAGCTCCTTAGACTTGGACAGCAGGAATATGAAAGTACTAGAGGCATGATGCACAAAATTCATGCATGGAGGGTATCCCTCAGCCCAGCCTGCACCAGCTCCAATCTGGGTCCCACTGGGATCGGGCCTAAGTGGTCAGTTGGACTTCCTTCTCACAATCCAGGACAACTGGCTCTCAACTGCTCACCTGCCTGCCTTCCTGATTGCCCCTAACTGCTTCTACCTGCCAGTATGATCAACCCCTAACCACTCCCCTGCCAGCCTGATTGCCTCTAACTACCCTTCCTTACAGGCCTGGTCACCCCTAACTGCCCTCCCCTACAGACCTGGTCACTCCTAACTGCCCTCCCCTGCAGGCCTGGTCACCCCTAACTGCCCTCCCCTGCAGGCCTGGTCACTCCTAACTTCCCTCCCCTGCAGGCCTGGTCCTCCCCAACTGCTTTCCCCTGCAGGCCTGGTCCTCCCCAACTGCTTTCCCCTGCAGGCCTGGTCCTCCCCAACTGCTTTCCCCTGCAGGCCTGGGTTCCCCCCAACTGCCCTTCCCTGCAGTCCTGGTTGCCCTCAACTTCCCTTCTCTGTTGGCCTGGTCACCCCTAACTACCCTCCCCTTCAGACTTGATTTCCCCCAACTACCCTCCCTTGCAGGCCTGGTCCCTCCCAGGAGCTAGAACTAACACCCTCTACTGCTGGCCTGATCGTCCACAACTGCCTTCCCTTGCAGGCCTGGCCCCTCCCTTCTGCCCTCCCCTGCTGTCCATCTTGTGTCCACATGGGGGCATGATCTTTGATCACATGGGGGCAGCCATCTTGTATGTTGGAGTAATGGTCAATTTGAATATTACTCTTTTATTACATAGGATACAGGCCTGGTGCACAGGTTGGGGTTGACAAGCTTGCCCTGAAGGGTGTCCCGGATAAGGGTGGGGGTTCTCTTAGGGTGTGGAGTGGCCTGGGTGAGAGGCTTGTGGTAGTTTAGAGGCCAGCCATGCCCCTCCGCAACCCAAGTGGAGGACCTGGTATCTGGGATTTATTTATCTTCTATAATTGAAACTTTGTAGCCTTGATTGGAGGTCTGGGCCAGTCAGGGTGTGCAGGAAGTTTGGCTTCCTCCATTGCCTGGGAAACCCAAGCCTCCTGCTCGCCCTGTGGCTGCAGCCATCTTGGTTGGGATAATTTGCACACTCGCTCCTGATTGGCTGGTGGGCATGGCTTGTGGGTGTAGCAGAGGTATAGTCAATTTACATATTACTCTTTTTTATGATATAGGATTCCTCATTTACAATAAATCATCTTAGTGGGACTTCTGATGTAGATAATCCATGAAGCAGAACATTAGCCTAATTTTATACAACCTGAAGTTTAATAATTAAGCAATTCAAGGTCAAGGACATTATAGGTTAGATGTTATTACCTACTGAAAAAGTATAAACCCACAATCCTGCTCCAACAAGCATTTTAATACCCAAGAAAGGAAGCAAAGTATCTCTAGGAACCAGAACCATTCTTACTGAGAGGGAGAAGAACAGGCAATGAATGAATGTAGGAAAGATATCTCCCTTACAATAGTTAGAAAGCTGTGTTTTCAGTGTCTGAGGGCTTCTTCACTAAATACTTTGGTTTCAAGTTTATAAACCTTTAAGCTTGTTTTAATGCAGGTTACTTTTTTTCTCTTAAAACAATTTTAGCCTGACCAGCATGGCTTAGTGGTTGACCACCCATCTATTAATTAGGGTTTCACGGTTCTATTCCCAGTCAGAGCACATGTCCAAGGTTGTGGGCTTGATCCTCAGTGTGTGTGTGTGTGTGTGTGGGTCATACAAAGGCAGCCAATCAATGATTCTCTCTCATCATTGAAGTTTCTATCTCTCTCTCCCTCTCCCTTTCTCTGAAATCAACAAAAATATTTTTTGAAACAATTTAATTTTAGAATAGATAAGTCAGCGAGACGTAAAATTTTCTTTACAAAGTTGTACTTTAGCACCAATTTTTTTGCTGGAACATACCAATTCCCAGAAGTGCAAAATATCTAAGAGTTAGTAGTACTCCAATACAATGACAACTGACATCCAAGATCAATTAATGACAAACCAGCAGCAAAGCTCCTTCTATTTCATAGGAACACAGCTTAGTGTGGAGATCTAATAACATGAAGACTAATCAGATACATATTAATCATATGCTTAGTAGTTTTGGGGGCCCTTGCATTTGTCAAGGGAAGGCTTCATCTGTGCACACAAATAACTGACAACTTCACCCCACTATATACCTACATTCCAGAACTTAGCCAATAAGAGCAAGGACACAACACAACTTTTGGCCTTCCATAAAATGTAAACTGTCCCTGGGTTTCATCCTGTTGAAGACATCCGAGATTGCTTTTATCCTAAAATAAATCTCAAAAATAAGTCCAGAGCAACAGAGCCACCAAGATTCATTTTTTACCTGAGGGGACAAACATCCCACTGAGCTTAGGGAGACAAGAACCATTCCGATTTTAAGATTCTAGGAGTACTTTAAATTATTTGAAATCGTTTTCTAACCCTTCCAAAATAAAACCCTGCAAGGGCAGGGATTTATATATGTACTAGAAGCCCAATGCACACAATTTGTGCAAGAGTAGGCCTTCCTTCCCCAGCTGCTGGCACCTGCTTCCCTCTGGCACCCTGGACCCAGGCTTCCCTCACAGCCCCAGCTTCGTCCAGAAGGGCATCCGAAAGGATGTCTAGTCTAATATATATATAATTTATAGCTATGATTTAGATATATAAATTATAAAATAATAATAAAAATAAAATTATATATATACATCTGTTACAAGTCACAAGCTTAAGGCAGGGCTATTTGCATAGTAAGAACTTGGGTGGAAGGTGTTAGCTTACTATATGAATGAGCAAATGGAATCTGCTCCTCGACCTTGGGTGATTTTCTATTCTGGAGCAAAAGGAAGAAACTTGCAGAGAAAAGAAATCAAAAGACACACATATCAGCACAGCTATAACTAGAAGTAGCAGGTGGGAGCTTTCTGTTGGAAGATCATACAACTGTCAGCTCACCAATATGGGAACCCCCAGTGCCCTTGATCTCCCAGTTCTTTCACCTTCAGGCTACCTGAGGAAACTACACATACCTCTTCCTCCAGCTTTACCACCTTGGCCTGGGCATTGCTCAGGGCCTGGTCTCGGATTTCTATGTGTCTTCTTTGGTCCTCATTGGCAGATCGGGCAGTGGCCAGCTCAGCTTCCAGCTTCTCCTTCTCCCGCAGGCTCTCCTTATCTATAAGGACATGAAATGTCCACATTATCGTTATGAAGATGGCTCAAAACCTTACCTGAGCATAACTGTCAATCATACCCAGTACTAAACATTATAGTGTTCTAGCACACAGATAAATGAACTAGATAGATCCGGACTCTGTCACTGGCTCTACCACTACTAACTTGCTGTGTAAATTAAGAACAGTCACTTAAAAGTGGCTGTTGAGCAGAAGCAATGAGAAAGTAGAAACAAAAATTGTTTTGAAAAGAACACACACATACACACATCAGAAGAATAAGTAGGCCTGTCTCCTCAATTTTATATCTTCAAATGGTCTTATATTGGTAGAAGAAGAAAGAAGAAGAAGAAGAAGAAGAAGAAGAAGAAGAAGAAGAAGAAGAAGAAGAAGAAGAAGAAGAAGAAGAAGAGGAGGAGGAAGGAGAAGAAGAAGAAGGAGAAGAAGAAGAAGCCCCCCCCACATTTTCCCCATTATAAAATTAATCTAAAAATTATATTTCACAAAATGCACAAAAAATTCAAATCCCACCCTTTACTAACATTATTTTTTAACTGAGATCAATCTATAATTGCACTGTATCTACAGGTGACAGTGACACATCTAGTTATTCTCTATGTCTTTCTAGGTCTTTCTCCTTCTAACTAGGACAGACTTCATCCCAGAAACTCAAATGAACAGTTCTGATTCTCATTTGGAGGTAGAGTTCTCTTCCTCTTGAGACCTTACTACTTAATTTTGTAGGAGAAACTTTAATAGGGCAGCCTCACCTTCCTTTTTATTCTGACTTTATATATCTATTGATATGCATCTTGAAAAGAAATGAATATTTGTTGAATACTTATTGCGCACCAAATGTTGCATGAACTTTATCCTGAGAACAACCATATTAGGAAGGCATTATTCTCCTCTTCTCCATTTTGCTTATGAGAAAACAGACACTCAGAGGAGTTGAGTAACTTGCACAAAGTCCCACAATTAGTAACATAAGTACAGGAGATCATAATTAAGGTCAAGTTGTTCTAAGCTCTTTCTAGCGTACCAGACTGCCTTATGCTAGAGTCCAGTTGGTTTGGCCTCTACAGTAGTTTGAACACATTCCCCAGGGAGGCTTTTCTAGAGGGCTTTCTTGGTTCCTGCCACAGTTCCAACCAAAAGCAAAGTCCAAAGGCAAAAGAAATTAAAGGGCCACAGGTCATGCCCTCTTCCCTGCCTATGAGATGGAGTGCATTTTTCCCTTCTAGAACCATTTAACAGTCTTTCACTCTGCTGTTAGTACAGTTTAATCTGCTAAACTATCACATTTTCTACATCAGTAACAGAACTACTAGGACACCTGAAATACCAACTCCACATAGAGAGAAGTGCCAACTAGCAGAACCAGGGTGAGAAACCATACATTTTTCTGTTTTGTTTTTTTTCTGGGAGGCTGCCACTCTGTCGACCAATGAACTAGCTTCCAGAGTAAACGTGACACCGAGAAAGCAATCTCAAAATGATTTACAGTAGGCACTGATGACACCAGAAAAACCACATTCCTTACTCTAAGAAATACTGACAAAGGAACAGCAGATTCAGGGAAATGATGAAGAAAAATTCCCAGTTCTGAAGCCAGAGCATAATGGAGGGGGTATTGCAAGAGGAGATCAAACATACTTGTAAAAGCTGACTCGAAGCTGCATGGAATGACTTCAGAGGGTCATGTTAAGGCCCAGCAAAGATGGGGCCTGACAAGTACCACCAAGTACTACTCCAGCTGGGAGCCAAACTGAGGGAAGCTGGGGGTAGGGACACCAACTAAGGACATCTGCAGAAGTGCGGGTAATTCATGCTTCCTCCGAACTCATTCTCCCTATGGACTCAATCCACTGTGTAATTTTTATTGCTGGTTTTATTGTAGCAATTGGAAAGAATAAGGCATTGTCTTGCTGGGTGGAGTCCACTGGAGACTGATAAAGAAGAGGATTAATTCATTGTCCCAGTCTTTGGAGTATTTCAAGACAAAGTAAACACTATTTTAAGGAAGACATAGCTCTACCCTCCATACCCTCCAACTCTGTAGTCAGAGTCACTAGTTCAGGCCATAGCAATGGTCCCCCTCTAGCTACCATTATAATCCTCCAAGGTATGATGATATGATAATATAAGGTGTTTTAATTAAGGGAGTCCCAGGAGCAGGTGGTATTGCAAACACTAATCATCAATCCTGCAAGCTAATTCCAGCTCCACCAGAGCCAGCACATGGATCCTTCAACAACAAATCCTGTCAACATGAAAAGACCCTATGGTCACTAAGGTTCTTTTCAGGTAGCCACAACAAATGCAGGGACTTCAAGGGACTTTTCTGGTTTTATACAGAAGGAGCCATATGGATCTCACTAATTGTTGTGGCAAGCAGCCTTCTTGGCCTATAAAACACACACACACACACTCCCAACTTCATGCTTGAACAGGAAAAAATACTTCCTAGATGACATCCACTCTGCCCTGACTTTTCAAGGCTAAACAGAACTATGTGCCTTTTCCCACACCTCATTCCCATCCACACATTATTATCTGCTGCTAAAGCTTTCAGACTTACTTTTTGCAAAGAGCTGAGAGATGGTTTTTCTGGTATCCTCTGTCCCCTCGTATTCTTTCTCCGCAAGCTGTTTGTTGGCAGTCTCCAGACGCTCTGTGGAATTCGAACACAATCAACCTAATCCTATACACAAACTTCCATGCACATGCTGCTGGCTCTCTCAATACTGAACTTGTGCAAACAAGCCAGCTTCTTCTTGTTACACAAAAATGGGTGACACAGACATACGTTTGTAAGTGTAGATCCCCAAACAACTAGAACATTGCAGCGTAAAAAGCCAGTCAATGAAAGAGAAACACCACATGACCTCACTCATTTATGGATGATAAAAAACATTATAAACTGAAGAACCAAAAGATAGATATAGAGACAGTAAAGCAACAAGCAGACTGTCAAATTACAGCAGGGAGGGTAGGGAGATCTGGGGTAGATAAGAGATCGCCCGAAGGACTTGTATATATGCATATAAGTACAACGAATGGACACAAAACTCTGGAGAGGGAGAACATGTATGGGAGGGGGGGCAATGGTATATGTACAAAGATAATAATTTAATAAAAAAATTAAAAAAAAACTAGAACATTGCAGGGAAAGAGGAGTTGAGTACTTAACACTTTTGGTCCATGCTGACAAAATCTAAGTGCAGAATTCTACATTTCAACAAAGGAATCTATCCCTGAATATATATATATATATATATATATATATATATATATATATATATATATATATATAATATCATTCACCTAGAGAAAAAGCATCAGAGTTATAAAGTCTTTAAAACCCTGTACTGTCACAACTGGAAGGGGGCCATAGGCAACATTTAGGTCAGTTTCCTCATTTTATAAATAAGATAACTTAAATCCAAAGACAGAAAACAACATTGCCAAGATCATCAATTTTGAAAGTGTTGAAAGTGGTTATTTCTCACCATCTTTAATATTACCATGTTAAGGTAAAAATACAAGGGGGGAGTCCTAGAAACAATGGAGGATATCACTATTTCAAGCTTCCTCTGCCAAAACACTTGGCCTCTGCAAAACCTATAAAGGAAGAGAAGCATCACCAATTGTGGGGGCGAGCTAGAGAAGTCCAGGAGTCCTAGGTTAGGTACCAACTGATTAACATATCAACTCATCCCACTTTGATTAAGCAATCTTGGGACCAAGTATTATTGTAGTCACAAAAACCTGACCTGGTGTATGCCCTGCAACTTATTAATCATACTAATGGACTGAACAAACCTAAGAGCCTCAACGTGTTCTCCATAGCTCTTCCCTTCAGACGTGATTCCCTCACCTCTCAGATCCCTATTAAAGTCATGCATCCTTCGAATCTCCCCTTCAAGCTTGTTTCTCATGGCTTTCTCCAAGGCTTCTCTTTTAGAGGATGACTTCACAAGGTTCTCATATGCCTCTGAGACACGTTGGATTTCTGTCTCCACCTGAAAAAAAAAAAAAGGAGAGATAGTGGGGAAGGTTGGAGCATGATAGAAATATGGTCTAAAACATACATGCAAATCCTTAATGACAACTTCCTCCAGAGCTTTATTGATGGCTGGGAGGCATAACACAGATTACAAAAGTTTCCCAGAAGGACAATTATCTCACTGGCTCAGGAAAATTCCACAGGTTCAAAAAAAATACAGTTTCTGCCTTCAGAGAAGGTAGTAATGGAGAATAAATTTAATAATATAAATGATTTTCATATATGAATTAAGATTTTTTTTTAAATTTGAAAATAATAATGTATATAGTACGTAGGTAATATTACTCTAGAGTGCTCAAAGGGTTTTCACATGTTTATTTTGATTTGCCTTGATATCTGCCTTCACAAGGACACCTCTCCCCATTTTAGCAAAGAGAAGAGTGAAACTGCCTTTTTGAACATGACACTAGTGGCAGAAGCAAACTGTAAAAACGCTAAGCCTCAGACTCATGCAGTAGTTCAGTTCAATTTAACAAATATTTACCAATGGCCAAATAAGGGACTATGGAATATCTAAAAATGAGTGAGGATATTATAATTGACCTCAAGAAGCTTTTCAGCTAATCAAGTAAAAGACTTTAGGAGGAAAATGAGAGAGAGTAAGAGTAGTCCTTTAAGTGTAAATGAGGAAGAAGTTATTCCTGTTGAGGGTAAGGGGAGAGGGGGATAATTTCAGAGAGGAGGTAGCATTTAGAGTTAGATCCTAAAAGATGGATCAGATTTCAATGAGCACAGGTGAGTGGAAGGGTATTCTGAGTTTGCGAATGCATTCCCAGAGTGACCAGTAGTTCTATTTGGCTGGACACTGTGGGGTACACAGAGGAAAGCTATGAGATCTGGCTGCAAAGATAGAATGGATTGAGATCATAAATGGGCTTTAATGCCAGGCATTTGGACTTTATCCCATAGCCAGTGGGAAGCCAGTACAGATTTTCTAACAGAAATTCATAATCAGAGTTGTGTTTTATGACACTCTGGCAAATCTTGTAAAATGGAAAAAAACAACACAAAACATCAAAGAGAAAGAGTTTTGCCCTGAATCAGCCCAAACAGCAAGAAAATAAGAAATTAGACTTCAAAGTCTTTCTGTAACCAGTATAGCTTCATTGCACATATAATAACCACAGGACCATTTGCATATAATTTGAATGACACAAATAAGCCCCATGGTCTATTACGCAATTTTCAAAATAAATGTGATTCTTACAACCATTCTGCATTCCCTACTGTCCTCCTTAACAAAGCTCAGGGTGCATTACAGGGAGATATCTCAGGCTGAAAGCCTGGGGGAAAGGTGTGGTTACCAAACAACCCAGATTCCACCTGCCCCAGCTCCAAAAATTTGCCTGATGCAGGACTTCCTGCAAACAAATGAGGCTTACACCCCAGAAAAGAGCAGACTTGAGAATGTTTTTCTCCTTGCAGATGGCACCAAGATAACAGCACAGAAGGGAAAAACTGGTGAATGGCATTTAGAGACATGATCTGCAAGGCTTGGGCCTGATAAAGCTTCCTCGTGAAATTCAAGTGCTGCTTAGAGAAAATAAACATTTCCATTTGAAAGAGCAGCTTGGTGTTTGTCTGCTCTGGGCAGTTTTAACAAGGCTTTCCAGTTCTCCACAGAATACCACACCTGGAATGCAGTCCCTCTACTCAAGTTGTTCAGAGTACTATTTCAAGATCTTACACCAATCCTTTCCCTGCCCCCGTAGATACTGTACCCTCCAAAAGGGCAACTTGTACGCTCGTAAACAGAACCTTCCAGGAAAAGAAGTCACAGGAGGGCATATCCACTATTCTGATCTACGCAATGGTTGTGACCAAGGAGAGGGAGGGTAGTGGTGAGTTTCCAGGCTTATTCTATCTACTTAAACCTGTCATAAACCTTGGGCCTCCTTATTTGTTCTAGACTAGCAGATATCTACACCTCATTCTCTTCACATTCTCTTTCTTCTTCTAACTCACCTGTACCTAGTCCATTGCAGCACTGGGTTGGCTTCGCTTCCCCCAGCACTCAAGGTGTGTCAACTACACTCAGTTGAAGCATCTTTACCCAAACTTGGGAACAAACACCACAAATCATATTCTGCCCCTCTTCCTGCCACCCAGTCTCCCCCTAAAAAAAAAAAAAAAAAAATCACCATGGATCCATTGGTGAAGAGGGACTATAGAAGATCTGGGTCCAACTTTCAGTTACTACATCAAAGATGTGGCTGGAGCCACCCTGAATAGAGAGTTTGGGAAGGATATCAACTGTTAAATCTAATCAAACAAACTGGGCCAACCTACCTCTAGTGTGTGAATATGATCCATTTAGTGAACCAATGTGATGGGGTGAGGGTATTCTTAAATGAATGAAGGGGGGAATTTTTAAATTGGAAGCAAAGTCAGGGAGAAACTGATCTCTTAACCCCACCACCCCCCATCCTGATTTGGAAACATTGGAGGGAAATGTTTTTACTACATAAAAATACTTAGCTGACAGTAAGTCTTCCTCTCTCCTTTAAAACCCAGATTTGGTGTTTACAAATTCTCAGCTTGATCCAGGCCCCTGAAATTTCCACTTGCTGGTGTCTCCTAAGGACAGAGTTGAACAATACCAGGCAACCTCCCTTCCCTCTCCCATATTCACCCTCACCTCCCTAAACATTTTGCATTGTAGGGAGATCAAACCACAGGAGCTCTACAATGACAAAAGCTGCAAAACGGCTGCCAGAGGCATAATCCTATTCACCAACAGCCACTGGAAGCCAAGAGCTAAGGTTCTTAGTTTAGAGCACTCAAGAGCTCAAGTCCCAGCAGCAGGAGACAGGAAGGGCCCAGGAAAGAATGTGAACGAGGGACATACATTCCTTTTTCTACTTCTTCAGCCTAGGGCTGTCACCTGTCACCCAGCTGTGGTGCTAAGCCTCTCCTGAGAGAGAGAGAGAGAGAAGATGTTGAATGTGAGCTACAGGGAAGGACCAAAGGAAAAAAAAAAAAAAAGGATAAGGAAGTAGGTGTTGAAAAACAGTTACCATGGGAATTTCCACTTGGAAAAGTGCTCTAAGCCCTTTCCAAAACAAGGCAGGGCAGGATCAAACTTCAGTGGTGAGATTTCTCTAGAAACTATGATTTTATGTTTAGGATTCAAGTTCAGTATTAACTATAAGCAAGACAAAATGTCTTTATGCTGGTAGGTTCTTCACCTTCTCAGACATCACCAGTGTTCTTGACCTTATAAAGAAGTTTCACTGCCTATTGGGATTCTAAAGCAATCAATCAAGTTTTCTTAAGGCTATGGTGTCTAGGAAAACTTCCTCCTCACATAAATATAAAATGTTACGTCTCCTCGAAAGAAAGGTAGAGGCTTTTCCCAAAGTCTCAAGTATATATAACCTTCAGATATAAGAATCCTTGCCCTAGTCGGCTTATGGACCGAAGGGTTCTGGGTTCGATTTCAGTCAAGGGCACGTACTTTTGTTGCCAGCTCCTCCCTGGCCAGGGCCCTCATGCAAGAGGCAACCAATTGATGTGTTTCTCTCACATCAATATTTCTCTCTGTCTTTCCCTCTCTCTACCACTCTCTTTAAAAGATCAATGGAAAAATATCCGCAGGTGAGGATTAACAAACAAACAAAAAAAGAAGAATCCTTAAGACCGGCATTATAAGTCATTCAGGCTCCCACAAATGGAGACTTACATTAATATTAAATATGTAAGATTTAAAGGAGCCTCTAATATCCAATACTGGGGCCTCACCTTCTGCAGTCTTGCCACCTTCTCATAGCATCCTTCCAACTCCTGCCGCAAGTTCCGGTTCTCCTCTGAGAGGATCTCAACCATCTGCTGGGCTCTGGAAACAATGGCAAAAGGGTCTGCCGGCATTGGCTGATAAGAAGCAGAAGACTGCTGAGCTCTAGGCATAGTTGAATATGCTTCTCCAAGCTGTGGCTGCTGCTGCTGGTGATGGTGGTGGTGGTGCTGCTGCTGCTGCTGACTCAGGCCCGGCTGGGTGAGACGGTAAAGATCACTCTGGTGAGTCTGATTAGGAAGGAAATGTTGCTGCTGCCTAGGTAGGTGAGCCAAGTGGTCTCCTTGGTTTGGGACCAATGGATGTTGAGCAGGAGATAATCTAGTGGATGGTGGAGACTGCAGCAAAGACAAGGAACCCCCAGACGTGAGGGAAGAAGTAGGGCTGTGAAGTTGAGAGTTCCTGGCTGACAAAGGCAATGAGATGTCTTGGGTTGGCCTGTAAAACATGGAGGGTATATTAAGGTTAAACTCTCTCTGAAGGCACTGGGGGAGAAGGACACAAGAAAGTGACATGAGGAGGCTTTCAGGACCTCCAGGACACCTGCAACCTGAGAAACAGGCAGTATTAGAGTACGGAATCTCTGCAAAGACCTCCACAGTTCTTTCTAGGTCTGACCTTCTATGACTGCCAGACAGAGACATCATCCCATAGAAGACTGAACCAGGTGATCTCAAAGGTCGCTTTGTGAAAATTAAAGTGATGTATGCCTATACACTTGGTGCTCAAGTAGAAGCATTTTAAAAGAGTCTTCTTCAAGTTACTTTTCCTCCTCACCTCATTTTAAACTAAACCTTTTCTGACATTCTATATGTGGTCTGGCACACATAAAGAGTCAAGTTTAGAAAATATGTTCTACTTGCCCAAAAGGAAATAGTGAACAACAATAAAAAACATCCCTTGTCTTGCTATCTGCAACTCTCTTTGATAATACATATATTTACAAAAATGATAAGTAAATACTTTTTAGATAGATTACAGTTATTAATAACTGACTGATAGCTATTAGGTAGCATTTAGAATTAGATCCTATATATAGTTAGTAGGATCTAACTCTATTTGTGGATAATAGTAACAATACCATGGCCTTGAGGGGTATATAGGCAAGACTACTGTATGATTTTTGATGTACTAAATCACAAAATGTAAGGACTGGAAAGGCCTCAATGAAATAATTTAATCCAACTCTGTAAATGGAGAGAGGGAGAAAATAGGTCCAAAAAAAGGAAGCAATATGCCAAATATTACAGAGTGAGTTATGGGGGCGCCAGGGCAGATCCTTTGTTTCCCAATTCCCATTTCTAGGCTCTATTCACTAACATAATATATTGATTTCCTTATGTTGATGTTCAGATTCATAGCCTATTGCTTACAAAAAGTTCCAGAAAGAGAACTTTGGTACATTGTCTAATGCGGCTCACTCATTTTTATACTTAAAACTGGACTACTGTCCATTAAGAGAAACAATCAGAATATTAAAATGGATCACTTCCACCATCATCACCACAAGGAAGAACATCTATCAATATACACACAAAAAAGCTCATACACCCCACCCCATGCCCATGCCCAATGCACCTCATATACTCCCAAATCCTGTAGATGCTTACCCTACAATTTATATTTCTCAATTTAGGGAAGACAGATGGCTAAGAGCATGGGATTTGGATCCCAACAGAGTTGAGAGACCTTTTCTACTGCTTACTAGCTGTATAACATCACTCATATGACTTTATCTGTTTCCTTCCTGAGGTTACAACTTAATTATAAAAATCCTGGACTCTTCTCATTTTGGAGCTCAATAAGAATTACAAAAGTCTTTTATCTAGTGATTTTGCTTATCAGATATTCATTTAATCTTTGCACTGAATTGCATGCAATTCATGATGGAACTGGGACAAATCACCAGGAGGAATTAACTTTTAACTGGTATTCCAGATGCTAAAGCACATCTCTCCTACACACACTCCAGTTATCATTATTGTTCATTTATATAACCCAACAAGAGATCCTCACTATTAGGGATTTTTACTGCTACAAAATCATTCCTACCAGTTGCTCATGGACACCCAATTACCTCAAAGCTGCTCCAGCCCAAGTTTCTGTCTCTCAGCCCCATCGAAGCCTCTGGTGTACCCATATTCTTCCAACTTCATACATATGTTACTATAAATAATTACTAAATATTGAAGAGGGCATGAGAACTATTTGTGGATAGAAGAATTTACACAGTTCTCCTGATTACAACTGGAAAGTTACTACCTTCACATGACCTTTATTTCCATGAGCTCAAAGAACTCCTCCAACCAAAGGCCTGGGAGCTGTTTACAAATATATATGTGAAATATAGTGGCAACCATACTTTGGTAAAAACTGCTGTTTGAATTTTAACCCTTCTAGTTTGGCTCCTGCACCTGATTAAATGGGGGGGGGGGGGGGGGGGAGGAAACAAGCTATTTACCTTAGCTTTCAGGTGGAGACTTGGAGGCTAAAGCAATTTTCCCTTGCCTGGGACCAGGACCACAGGAGATTAATTCCCACTAACTCAGAACCTTCAGAGATAGACACTGTAGATAACCTCTGAGCTCTGCTTCGGTGTTATCAGCTATCACAAGATAGGGCCACATACCAATGTCCAGCAGGATGTGACTAGCCACGACCCTGCAGGCTGACCCCAGTCTTTAGAATGTAGTCTTTAAGATTTAGAATTTAGAACAAAGAAAAATTCCTGTGGTTTGAACCTTTAAAAGGGATTGCCTACCCCTGAAACGGGGCAGTCATTTGGAGACCACCTGCGTGTAGTGCTCTTGCGACTGTCCTGGCCAGACATTTCAATAAATCTTTGCCTGCTTTTGAATCAATCATCAGCCTCTGGTGGTCTTATTCTAAACCCAGGGTTCGACCCCACAACATATGTATATATGTATATATGTGTATATGTGTGTATATGTGTATATGTGTATATGTGTATATGTGTATATGTATATGTATGTGTATATGTATATGATAATGTTATATTATGATAACCTTAAATTTATATATAAATTTAATGTCCTGGAATTTGTTGGGGCTATTGGATATCCTGGGTAGAAAAGAAGAGCTTATATTTCATGTTCTCCAATCCAGCTTTCAAAATTTAAGGGAAAAACAAGCATATTAACCTCCATCCTCATTGTCAGGATTTGGAAACCCAAGGCCTGGAACATGTTCTCTTTTAAAGACTGAATGCTCATTCTGAATTGGGCTTCTTCCTCCCAGCTCCCCTGGGTGCCACCAGCAATCCAGGCCTCTCCTTCAACCAGAGTGGCCACTGGTCTCTCTCCTATCTGGAGGCTGAAAGGACCCTCCTTGCCCTGAACAGCTCATGGTATCCTGGGGAACTCGGGAAGGAGAAGACCACGAAATCTGTGGCTCTGGCCATCATGACTCTGGGCACTGCCTAGGAGATAAGGCAGTTGCCCCTCAGCTTCCCCAGGCTGGAAAAGGAAACAGATTTTAGTGCACTGTGATGTTGGAAAGACCAAGGCAGTCCATCCTTGGCAGGTTTGCAAACATGAAGCAAGGCTTAGGCAGTGAGTTGCAAAAAAAGAGAAAGCCTTCTAGCCAAGGAACTCCGTCTAGGCTCCAGCATCCATCCACCACAAAAATATCAAGGCAGTATTAACACTCTTGTGAAGTTTCCACTGAGAGAAAGGGACTGAGGAATGACAGGGGTATGGGAGAGCTTGGGGGATATCAGGGGAAGCAAAAACACACTGGAGACTAAATAATGCAGATAATAGCAATAATAAAGGTGGCAGTTGGGTGAGCAGCACTCTCCCCAGCACAGCAGCATGAATCACTCTCCACTGAAATATTAACCAGGAATAAGCTACCAGCAGACAATAGATTAACATGATCCCATGGAAGCCCTGACCTGCATCCCTGCCCCTTCCCTCCCTTCATTCTGCTCCTTTCTAAGACAATCTGGTTCCCTTGTGCTCTGTGGAAAAGGGGAAAGGGCATATATGCAGGGCAGAGGCCAATAGCCAAAAGCAGCATCCCCCCAAGCAGAGAGAAATCCTTCCCAGAGACAGACAGCAAAGACACAAAAGAAAAGCAAAAACCGGTCTGTTGAGTTGACATTCCACCTTCCACCCTGCTACCTCACTGACTGGAAGTCCCTGCCCTCCCCAGCCACATACTCCACACACATATATGCACACTCCTGGCTCACACTTATATTCTCACCAGAGCAGGTGCCACCAACAGCCTGGAACCCAATTTATTCTCCCCACAGAAACGGTGCCTTTCCTAGACTCCGTGGTAGTGAAGCTGTATCCTGGACTGCGCTTCAAATTCTTGATTGTTTCTCTTGCACAACCAGCTCTGCTCTGAACTACAGAGTTAGGTCACCCTTAGATTCCACTAAACAAGGATTTGAAGAAACTTCAGATCTGGGCACAATTTCAAAAACTGAAAGGAGGTGGCTGCTTTACAGAGAAGATTTAATTTTAAAAAACAGTTGATAAATGTTTGCAAAATCCCAAATGCAGAAAAGGCTCAGCACTTAAAAAGACAAAAGAATCAGAGAATGTTTAATTCTTCACATGTCCTGGCTTTGTTTCCCATCTGGAGTTCTGAGCATTCAGAATATTTATTTTTTTAGGTGGGGAGGAGGGCATAGGGAAGATGAAGTAATAAAAAGATTTTTTATAACATTTTGTTCATTTTAACAAAAAATCTTTAGCATTTCACTGCACCTTGAAAGGCAAACAAAGGTTTTTTGAACAGCAATTTGTTCAAAGAGCTTGCTTTGCATCCCTATCTGTAATTTGTGGATTAAGAACTAGAAATTTAGTCTTCTAATTGCTTGGCACTAACAGCAGTTCCTTGCAAAGGTATTCACAAACTGTTAAAGCAAATAAGGAGGACAAATGTGTCACCACTTGAAAGTGTACACTTCAGGAAAGCAATTCAACTACACCCCCTAGCAATTTGTCCTTAGTCCCATGCCTTGTAAACATTTTATTGCCTGAATTTTTCTGATGCTGACCCAAACTTTACACAGAACATCTTTTAAGTTTTGTTATTCATCGAGCATATCAAGCTCCCTGATCTTCTCCCATTGAGGGAAAAAAAAATGTTAGAGCAAACCTGTCTATTAAAATGCTGCTCAAGAGAGGGTAAGCAGCATGAGCTCTACTGCTTTTGGTGACAGGAAGATAGAACCATAGATAATGTAGGAGGGAGGAGAAAATACAACTATCTTCCTGTAAAACAGATGCAGCTATTTTTTTTTTTCTGGTGGTTTAATCAGTATGGGAAGAACAAAAATCCCTCTTTGGGTTCCTTGTTATTTATTTAGGCAGTTCAAAGAACTTTTCCAACTAGCTTCAAACACTGTGGGAGCCATTTCAGATCACGAACAATACTGGTGAATGAGTTCTGAAAATAGCTTTCCTGGGGAGGCGGGCCATGTGCTGAGTGGGGCTTTGGATTCTGCTCCACACCCCAGCCAACACACTATCCTCCCACAAGGCAACCAACGTCAGCCCATCCACATACGGTAGGGAGTCCCACAGACTCTTTCCATACTAATGGGAAGAACAAAACAAAAACCCTGGCTTCACTGACATTTTACTGGCTTGGATGGGTTTCCACTAAGCTAAGCAGTCCAACAGACCAACCCCTCCCTAGGTCTTCCGCTTCATTGGACAGATGAGAATTGGGTTCTTGATCTCATTTAAACCAGAAGGGCCCTGTCCGTTACCCCATTTCCTGTTCCAAGCCACTTATCAGAACTTTGGCTCCTGCCCTCTGAAAGCTGCACGGAAGAGTTAAGGGAGAAAAAAAAAATCCTAAACTGGCCAAGTTAGGGGTGGAGCCCAAAGTGAATTGTCTCTTGCTAAAAAATGAACCTGAAAAGGGAAAATAATGAAATATCAGGAAATGCCAGGTGCATTCTCTCACCTCACCTCTAACTCCACCCCTTGACTGCCTGTCTCCACAGTCACCCAATGAAGAACTTTAAGCCAAGAGGCTTTTTCCCAAAGCAGTAAGAAGGAGACAGGAGGCAAAGAGTTAGACATCAAAGAGATTCACAAACCTAGTCTGAGGGCCCCCTAAGATAAAAGCCACCCTAGGTCCAGGCACTTCAAACATCATGGCCACCAATAATTACCCAGGGTAACAGGGCAGGAATACCACGTAACTTCCCATCATTATTGCCCATAGACTGAAATCTACTAATCAGAGACATCATCCCAATAGCAATAACAGAAACAATGAACTGCATAATGGAATCATAATATCTGGTTGATACAATGGACCCCTGAATAAATCAGAAGTATACATGGGTGGACAAAAATAGGTTTACAGTTATAATACAAATAAATAATACAATTATTAATAAATAATAAAATAATAAACTATATGTTTTGTGTACTCACAACTATAAACCTATTTTTGCCCACCTGAGTATTTAGGAAGAATTGAATATATAAAACAGTACTCCTGAACTAAGGGCAAATGCTAGAGAAGTCATTGGTGTATTTTGCCTTCTACATTTTAGCGTCTGACCAAAACTTCCATATAATATGATGTGAATTTAAATTACATGCTTAAAAACACAACAGGTAACTAATAAAGTCTCTATAGAAGAAAGATGAAGCAATCCAGATTTCATAAACTGAAAGGAAATACAAGACAAATTATATTCTGAACCTGCATGTTCCCTCACAATAACATTTTGTTATTTTTTTAGTGTACAAAAGAATCACAATAATTCCTCCAAAAGATGTGTTCACAAAAATATGTGATGAGTTTTGCAGCGGGGGATAAGTAGTAGTGATAGGATATTCCAGACTAATTTAAGTCCAAGATAATTTGCTTCTGCTACTAAAGGAAGGGCTTAAACTCATCAGATAAACAAACACTGACACTTCTTTCAATATCCTAGAAGACAGGACAGCAAATAACTGCTGAAATCAAGATTTGTGCTCCTGTTCATCTACTAGGCAGGTGAGGCCATATTCAACCTCTAGAGCTCAGGGAATGTTAATACAGTACCAATTATGGCTAGAAATTCAGATTGACTATTTTCCGGCGGATAAGATGACCAGGCATATAAGATGACCCCCTAATTTTACAGTTAAAACATAGGTTTAGGCCTATATTCTCTGTATAAGACTACCCCCCACTTCCGAGGCAACACCAGTTCTTTTTTTAATAGACCGTCTCTCTGACTCTGGCCAATCTGAGCAGGCTTTTTACTAGAACACAGTGTACATGTTCTGTACCCAAAGCTACACTGTGTTCTAGTAAAAAGCCTGCTCAGATTGGCCAGAGTCAGAGAAGTGGTCTATTAAAAAAAGAACTGGTGTTGCCTCGGAAGTGGGGGGTAGTCTTATACAGCGAATATAGGCCTAAACCTATGTTTTAACTGTAAAATTAGGGGTCGTCTTATACGCCGGAAAATACAGTAAGTCAGGAGCCAGTCATGCATTGCAGAGTCTGTTATACCAAAGACAGGCCCATTCCTTCCCTTAAGATTCCTAACACACAGCAGAAGCTGGTTGGGGGAGGAAGTCAGAAAATCATAGAAAGGGAACTCTCTTACCTGGCTGCTCCATACTCAGGGGGATGCTGATACCTCATCAGTTGCCCCTCTGTTCTCCCTGGCTGGTTCAGACGATGCTCACTATAGAAGTGCCCTGGTTCTTGGGGCTTGCACACTACAGACTGGGGTGGCATGCCCTTGAAGGGATACTCTGGTGGGGGGCCTCGGTGTTCCATGCCCTTCAGGGTATGCTGGCCGGGAGGCCCTTGGGCCTTGTAGAATTCACTGGAACTTGTGGGATTCTTGTAGAGGTCATTGGGTTGTGGTGGAGAGAGTGGAGCGCTGGTAACAGGCGGATGGGCCTTAACTCCACTAGTGGCCAGTGACATCTGCATTAGTCGTTCACTCAAAGAGCGGACATGTCCTTGCTTAAGGTCTCTGAGTCCTTCATCCTGGTGCATCTTCCCAGGATTGAGACGCTGAACTGATGGTCGTCCCTCCGTCCTCATCTTCTGGTTGGTGACTCCAGTGACATAGAAAGCAGCTCCAACACTAGCATGCTGTTGGCCCCGAAAGTACTGGGACTGGACCTTGGCTTCTTCATAGGTTGGGAGTTCTTCATTATTCTGCATTCGAGGGGAAAGTTGCTTCTCCATGATGATATTTTCTGACTGAATTTCCTGCCCTTGGGGTTCTTGTCTAGCAGCATGGGCCACAAGCTGTTGGTGATGGTCTTGGGGACTCAACACATCATTCTGAGGACCTGGGTTTCCACTGCCACTGGGGAAAGGAGGAACAGTCCCTGTGGCTTGCTGGTGTATGGCAAGCAGGTTGCGATTCTCATTAGGATTGCCATAGCGAAGCTGCTCTTGTAGCAGACGCTGCAACACTGTGGTTCCTCCACTTGGTTGTTCTTCAGAATTTCTCATCTCTATTGCTGGTGGTGCCTTGTGAAGAGAGAGAGAAATTGGGCACCTGGGCTGCCCTTGACCTAGGAAGGGGAAACAGGAAGCTTAACACCCAAGTGATGGATAAATCATTCCTCTAAAGGGGAAAAATGGGTATTGGGGGGTGTGGATTCCTTTGCAGATACAAAGTAGAGAATTGAATCTAGAATTAATAAATTAATTGTTGGTGACTCCTGACTCGAGCATTGATATGATGAGGACGTTGGAGGCATAAGAACTCTCCATTTCCTCTTTCACTTTTAGCATGGGTTAAATATTTAATTTTGACTTAATTCTGTAGAGAACAGGACAAATCTGGAGCAGTCAAGTAGGGTGATCAAAGAGGGCAATCTTCCTAGGACCTTACAAGATTCATCTCTCTATATTCTATTTCAATGAAAAGTTGTGGCAGTGGGGGCAGGACAGTGGAGAGAAGTTGTCCCGCAGACAGGATTTGTAAAGCAGTTCAGCATGTGAAAGGAGTTATAAAATGCCAAATAATAAGTAAATACATAAAAGGTGATGAGAGCTTGGCTTGCACCAGATAGAAATGGTCCCTGCTCGATGGATATCATTTTCTGTGATCTCAAAACTCCGAAACGTATATTTTTTAAAGGAATCCTTTTTGTATTGTCCATTTTGGATGCTCCCTGGCTTAGTAAGAGAAGGGCTTGGAATCATTGTTATTGATAAGTTTTTCTTTCAGCCATCCAAGAATTGTCTTTGAGATTTTGTTGTTGTTGATGATGGGTAGGAGGAGCTTAAGGGAAAACCCTATTTCATTTAAGAGGGCCTCTGACAGAATTTAAAATTTTTAAATTTAAAAGGTCATCCTTCTGGAAAGGGTATAATTATAATATCCCCCACCCCCCAACTAATTCTTCTTAAGGAAGTAATATGGAGTGAGTGATACAGACATCAGTAGTAAGATAACTCAAGATTCAAATTCTAAGTATGCCATGGTTTTACAGGGTAACCTAAACAACTGATTCCTCTTTTCTTATCTTCTATTCCCCCACCTAAAAAATAATATAGGTGACCTCTTACATTGTCTCTCTCTCTGCACAGTATAGTAAGTAATACAAACTCATTACAGGCTCAAAAAATCTTTGGACAGAATCTGTCTCATGTTATGTACTATAATTTAATACGAATGCTCAATAATGAAACTTTCACTCTAAGGATCTTTAGTGTTGGATAATGTACACGATGTCACACAAAAAGTTACAATAAAGGTCAACTTAACCCACTTGTGGGTTCCTAGATGAGAACTCTGGAATCCTGGTTACAAGGATCTGGTTTCTATATTAAAAAGCCTCTGAAAACATGACCCCCTTTCCTTTAGTCTTACAAGGAGTAACCCAAAGATGTGTATTGTAGATAAAGTACAGTAATCTTCTCTCCTCTCACACTTCTTGCATCATTATGCTACCTGATTTCCAATTATTGTATAGAGTAACTAACCTTCCAAAGGCCCTTCTTATATCTCATTAATCGTATTTTTGGGGAAGAGCACACCAAGGGGCTGAGCAAACTGCCCTCAAGTTTCCTTTGCCTCCCTCTCTCCCTCCCAGCTACCCACTGGGACTCCTGCATTTAAACTGTCAGATTGGGATTTTCTGATAGGCTGAGAAATATAATATATATAAATCTCTTTTAGTGTCTGAAACTGGAAAAATGACTACCAAACTACTTTTCCTTTATAAAAAAATAGAAACAGGAGTATGTATGGTCACAGGAAAATCACTTATAAACCCCTCTTGCAAGGCAATGAAACCCAGACATTGAGCTACCCCAGACCCTGAAGAGTAAGTACACCACCCCCTCCCATTCCACACCCACCCCACCCTGCACACACACAGGCACGCGCACACACAGGCACACATACACAATGGTGATGCATACCTATTTCTGCTTTCTTTTAGGCTTAAAGCCTTGATCAGGATAGGGAATTCTTGCTTATGAGCAGCTCCAGAAACCGCAACGGCAGATTCCCTCTCCCCTAACACTCAGGTTCAGGTTAAGCGCCGCCAAGAGTCCAACCAGTGGTCACTCTGAAATGTTCAGGAGGGGGAGGGAGGAGAAATAAAAACGTCGTTTCTATTTTGCCACCAATGGCCAACTGTTAACCAAACCAGTCCTTCCAAGGGAATGACTTGTCCTCCCATGTGCTTGCCTTTTATATGAGTGGTAGAATCCATTTCCACCAAGACAAAAAGAAATGTCACTATCCAGCAGTATGTTCAGGAGATCAGCCAGTCTCCAGGAGATGGAAATGTCCAGGTCTGAGACTGGAAGATTACTCCGCTTTAGCCTCACAGCCCCAAAAGCCACTGCTTCAATTCTGAGTGGAATGATAGGTGATGACAGAAGCCATAACCACAGTCACCTTTAGGGTGTTTCCTTTAAATTGCTATCAGGAGCAGGACAGGTGAGTGAGGCCCTGCATCCCAGAAGAAAAGACGGTAATCAGAGGGCAGGTTTTTGGTCAAAAATTCAACTGCTACAGCCTCAGCTGGACAGAAGCAATCCCAAATGCTTTTTCACCCAAGTCATTAAGTATATATTGCATACTGGCTATTCCAAATACTTTCCAGCCTAATGCTAGAGGAATACAAAAGACACACAACATATTTTCCCTGCCCTCACAGAGCTTATAATCTGATCAATGCCCCATCCATTCTTCCTGTAGCAGCAAAGGCAACTGCCCTTCTCAGTGCATAGCAGCAACCCCACTCCCTCAAGAAAATGCCTCCACTTGCTTTCTCAGCACTTCCACAGCCCAGTGTCTCCGAAAAAGGAAAGGCTAGACTCACACAATCAAGACTAACTGCAAACACCCACCAGATATGGGTTTGAGATAGTCCTCATTTCTAATTACTGCTTTGACCCTCAGAAAAGGTCCTCCAGGTCCAACCAAAATGGTTATCAAACTGAAGACTTTGTGTTTAGGTGGCATGCAGAAGATCCACATTCTTGTTTTCTGTCCTGCCTTAGGCATGACTCACTCATATCACGTAAAGGAAAGGCTTTAATCTGCACCAGAGATACCATTTGTGGAGCAAGGCAATGCAAAAGAAGCACACAAGCAACTCTGCATTTCGAGAGCATGTCCAAAACATCAGAGTTTTTTAAAAATCCACAAAACTGCACAGTGATTAATTTAACATTATTTCCTTGCAATGTTGTCAAAAATAAAATGAAGAGATATAGAGGGAGAAAACATGGAAATTCGCTTTTCCATCTTGTTTTGGCCCAATGTGTAATCATAATCAAAAGCAAAAGCATCTCCCATCTGCAAGGTAATTATTTTGGGATATCTCCCCTAATTTCAAAGAGAGGAACAACTTCTAATTGGAATCAAAGTTGGACTATTAACAGAGCTACGGTAAATAACCACTGTGCTTCTGTTGTCCAATTCTGAACAAAAACAAAACAAACAAAAAAAGTTGTCATTTTTAAAACTGAAACACGCAGAAAACAGCCCAAGGCTTCTAAACTTGGACCCCTGAAGAGAAACCACCATATAATTCTTTGCCAGTACTATTTAGATTCTTCATGCCAATCTTGACTGGCTTGCTTCTAATGCCCAGTTCCTCACCATAAAAACTACTTGTCCAAAGTCTTGCTCTCTTTCCTTAATTTTATCCTCTCTCTTACAATCCTTTTCAAAACTCAAATCATTTTAAGTCAACCAGACACAGACTGTGCCTCCCCATTACCCTGCCCCCTGGCCTTTTTTGTTTCTGTTTAGAAGAGGAAAAGAACTTAGCCTAAGAAAAAAGCTTTGCTGATTTCTCTCCAGTTTGCTGATTGCTTCTTAAAAATCTTATGCTCATCTACATATTAAGAGTTACATAAAAATGAAAACACTACTCCATTTATTTATTAGAGAAAGGAAAGGAAAATATTCTTGTCTCATGTGCAAGAAGTAAAATAGTATGAACTCTGAAAGCTTTAATCTTCCCACAAATTTAATCATCCCAACTGTCAGGGGTCTGACATCATCTTCAATCAATAAAATAACCTTGTTTCTCCTGGACAAGCCGACTGTCCCTGAGGATATTTGATAGGGGAAGAAAGGATATCCGTGGCTCTCTCTTTAAAAATGCAACTTGAATCTATATATTAAACTCTTCTATAGAAATAACAGGTCAGCAAGGCCAAGCTAAATTCTTACTCCATTTGCATTTGTTCGCCTCTCCCAGTATACCTGGGAGATTGAGCCAAAATACATTAGTGAGAGCCCAGATGTTTTCCAACCCAAGTCCCAGAAAATCAACATGACAAGGTGGCCAAATTCCCCCCCTTCAAAGAAATTTTGAAATATAACTATAAGATCTTCTCTTTGTCCCCTCTATCTCCTCCTATTCTATCCCCACCCCTCACTCCACCAACCACAATGAAGCATGGAAGTCTAAGAAACCTGTTTTTCTGCTAAATCTTGGTCAACTTGTTCATATAATTTTACCTCCAGTTCTCTGGAAATAAGCCAATTCAAAGTTTTCCCTGTATCTGCATGCACATATTTGTGCATAAATACAGGCACGCACACACACACACATGCACACACCCTCCCATTACAAAGAGAGGCAAATGGCCCACTGAATTCTCTCATGTCCTCTCAGGTTGGTCTATATTGTGGCCTGTGTGTCCTAGGGAACACCTTTCCCAATAATCTTGCAACTTAGGATACTAATTCACTTCCTCTGGGAGGTAAGAAACAATGGTCCCTTTGCAGGTTAGCCCTAAACTTTTGATGGGTAATGGGCAGGTAGTATAAACACAATGGATAAGAGCCAGAGCCTAGAGTTACTCTATACAAGTTCAAATTCTGGATCTATGATTTACTAACTTACGTCATACATTTCTCTTGACCTCCCCAAGTCTCAAATTTCATTATTTGCAAAATAGGAATAACGGTGCCCATGCCTCATAGGGTTACATAAAGCTGAAGGGAGGTAATCCATGTAAAGTATAGACACTGAGCCTGGTACATAGTAAAGACTCAGTAAAAGTTAGCTATTAATATTATTATTTAAAACTGGCTTTTTTTTTTCTAGAAAGCTCAACAATTTTATAAAGTAAGGTTGGTTTTGTAAAATCTTTATTTGCAACTCAGTTTGTGTGCAGAGGTCCTTAAATTAGTGGATGTTGGAAGAAAGACTTTTGGGAGACCCTTCAGTGGTCCAACCCTCCTTTTTTATAGATGAAGATGCCAGAGCTTAAAAGGGGTCAGAGCTAGGGCCAGAATGCAGATTTTATTACTCCAAAGGGAACAGTCCTTCCACTAAAATATATTATCTAGCATATTAGTTTATACATAGAAGATGCTTAATAAATATTTATTAAATTGAATTGATTCTAGTTTTAAAAGACTATGAATGGAGTTTAATGCTACCACCAATTTTTCAATTACATTACAAGTAAAATTATAATGAGGGGGGGGGGGATCCAAACAGGTGAGAGGTATGTGTTTAGTTAGAAGTATGTGGAAAGACCTTACACAATAGCTCCTCTGTAGACCAAGATATGCAGATAGGTCAGGGAGTAGAAGGAATCTCCACCGATCAATATTTCCAGGCCCCCACTGTAGGTCTTGTCAACATCGTAATGACTTGGTACTTACTGTAACTTAAGTCTAACACTGGCTTAAGAAAAGGTTTTGAGTCAGTCCCACTTCTTTGCTCCTTGCTCTACCTCAATCTAGATTAGGTTAGAAATTTATTTTAAGAACCACAGTAAGACCTTGGCATTTTGAAATCTTACTGAGGATCAGTATCAGTTATCTGTTTCTGAGATGGCAAGTCAAATGTGTGGTCAATTTGGTCTCAGTTTTACTTTTCTGTACTATAAATCAATTAAGTTGAACATGTTAACAGACAACAAAAGTTATCAACCCTAAAATGTACATGAGCAGTGAAATACTGGGTAACAAGAAAAATACTGTTGCTACCACCTCTCCACTTTGCTCCACACATACCCATTCTAAGGGAGGAATAAATAGATCACACCATCACATCCCATTTCTTCTTGCCTCAGAAAGAATATAAGCAGTCCATAAAATCATATTGAGTATAAACTGAGAAAAGTTTAAAAATATACCCAGAAGCTACCTTCTTTACCAATATCCTATCTTCAATGGTATACTACTCACTTTTATTTTTACTTATTTTACAAGTAATATAAGCACAACATGCAAATATTTATAACAGAAAAAAGTCAATCATAATCCTAGCAACCCAACCCAAACATTGTTAATATTATAGAATATTCCCTTTAGTTTTTTCTTTGTATACTTGTGTTTTTGAAAAACAATGAAATATGAATGTACATGTAATTTTGGATCCTACATTTCACTTTATCATAAGCACTTTCTCCCTGTTGAAGCATAGACTTCATAAAAAAACAATGCAATGACTGTGTAATAGTCCATTAAATGAGTGTATCAAGATTCACTTACCCATTTTCCAATTATTCAGACATTTAAATTTCTTTCAATTTTGTCCTAGTCTAAATAATGTTATAAAAACATCTTTTGATTTGGTCTTTTTCAATATTTTAGATTATTTCCTTATGATAGAATCCCAAAAGTAAAATTAATGGTCAAGGAACATGAATGTTTTTAGATAAACCATTAAAAAAATAAAATTAGCAAAATATCAAAGTCCCATGAAATCTCTCCTTCATTTAATGAAAAGTTATCCTGCTCCCATTTCTCCACCAGGGCAGAACAGGACTCCTGGGAGGGAATAAAGCCAAGAGAAGCAGTGTAGTATCCCAGCGACTTTCAAAATGGCAGAGTGGAATGTGGACTCCCTTGTGAATCCAGCTTGCATGCACTTGTCCCAAATTGCCACCCAGTCAAAGAGCTCATTAGTAAAAGTATCAGGTGGATGAGAATAGGTTCATGGCCTGTAATCACTTATATCATGTTTCATTTTTTGCCCTTGGAAAGATCTGACAGTCAGCTTGAATACATTCAGTTCTAGTGACCACACATGCTAAATTCTCAGAATTAAATTGGTTAGTTTTCCGATATCAATATTCAATATATTTGGCAGGGTATTGTGCTATATAGAACTAAGCATGTATAACCAATGTGCCTGTGTAACTCTATTTTCAGCCACAGTTAAGGAGGCACATTAAAGGTCAGCCCTATTTAATATTTTATGGCTCAGTGGCATCTGTCTTAAATGGCCAACATGTTATAGACAGAGGTTTATTTGCAAACTCCACCATAAAAGTCATTCAGTCCTAAGGCAGTGGAGGAAACAGGCCAGAGATGCCTTAGCAAGAACAGACACAACGGGCATCTTTCCTGGGCTGCTTAGTCAGAATTCTCAGAAGAGAACAGTGCTTTCCACCTTTTCCTTGAAGATTTTTCCCCTAATCTTTTTACATTTTCCCCCTGCTCCCAACTCTGCCCAATATGGAAAATTAATTCTCTCTCCTCACAGTTTCTACTGGACTTTGTATACATCTCTATTAGAACACTTATTATACCATATTCTGCACAAACATTTATTAAACACTTAACTATAGCCAGAAACTGCAAAAGTCCTAGGGTGAATTGAAAGAGAGAGGGAGGGAGGGAGGGAGGGAGGGAGGGAGGGAGGGAGGGAGGGAGGGAGGGAGGGAGAGAGAGAGAGAGAACAGAGTCCAGTCTTCAAAGAGCTCTTAGTCAAGTAGTGGGGCACAATCCAACAGGAAACCAGAGGTATAAGCAGTTAATTCTGGCAACATAGAAGACTCCGCAAAATCTTCTGGGCCACCTGAGCAAAGCTTCACAGAGGTACAGACCTAAAAGTATGAGTAGGAGACCTATAATCTGATAACTGACTTGCTTATGGAGAAGTTGGAAAGGGAGGAGTCAAAGATAAGTTGAGATATATCTTTGGGAGTCATTAGCATATGGATAACAGCTAAGGTCAAAGAGTGGGCTGTATCAAATAGAGCAGGAGCAGACTAGAATCAAAGATGAAACTAGGTTGGGCCCCGGAAAAAAATGAGCAAGGGTCAGGTACTTGGCAAATGTGTGCATGCCAGAGAAATTCCTTTATTTACTTATGGCTCTCCCTCCTTCCCCTTACACCTTCAATCTAGGCCTTGGAATACACTGCTCCAGGAATGGAAGTCCCCAGTTACAATGCAGAGAGGAAAAGAGAAGTTCATCCTTGTCCTTTATGCTTCTAAGTACCCACACAAAAATCATTTAATATGTTGAGCCAGAAATGGAAGTTGTTAGACTGCAAGATCTTAGAGGGCACGGGCTGAGTGCAAGCTTTTCTTCTTTGTTATTCCTAACACCTAAAACTTTAATTGGTACATAAATTATACTTAATAACTGCATAGTGAGTATATAACTTCCCAAAGACTTTGCTAGAGACAAGAAAAGGAATGAAAGATATACTAGCAGTAACAGTAATACTATTTTACCTTTAGTTTCTCAGCCTTTCTTCTAAGGAGACAAAAGCTCTTTCACTTCTGCTATCTTATTTGTCCTTCTCAGCAGCTCTGTGAGGAAATAAAAGCAGAAGTAAATAATTCTATTTTACAACTGCAGAAGCTTAGGTCCAGGACAGATAGCTAATGACAACTAATTTGACCAAGGTTTCACTGTGGCCCACTGGTGGGACCAGGATAAGAATACAGGTCCTGTGACTTCCTGCCCTGTGCTGGGTTAGTAGACACAAACCTTTACAGAATTGACTCTTCAGTTTTTAAGAGGACAGTTCACAAGAGAAATTCATTAGTAAAGCAGATTCCCCAGGGCTCCAACAGTATCTTAAGCAAACTAGTGCACTGCACCTATAAGAAAATATCTAAGACGTTTCCCCTTACCAATACTGGAACGGCTAAATATAATATGCAGTGGTGCTCCACTAACATAATTAGGAGCTCCCTGTTTTGCTGTACCCCTTTGGAAGGGAGCCACATCTAACTTGTGTCTGAGTAGGGCTCAGATGCTGACTACAGGTGTGGCATCCAGCAGGTGCATGAACAGGAGCCAGGGTTTGATATCTTCATACCAAAGAACCTGAGTCACTCCCCAGAGTCAGCCCCTCCTCCTCATGCTGACTTGCAAGTCCCAAGAACCTGTTCTGAGTTGCCATTTCGAAACTAAATCTCTTCTCTGCCTTCCCAGGAAGTAGGGTAAAATCAGTTAAACTACCAATCACATAACCCAGCCAATTTGCCCACCCTCCAAAGCTCTAGGGCAGGCATATGCTGCAGGTATAGCATCAGGGAATACAGGGTAGTGAAAAAGTAGGTTTACAGATGTGAGCATGTGAATCAGTTTATTCTAGTATTATTATTTAGTAACTAGAGGCCTGGTGCACAAATTTGTGCACAGGTAGGGGCCCTAGGCCTGCATGGTGCTCAGGGCCTGTTAGGGCCAATCAGGACCTTCTGGCTGCAGGCCAAGGACTTCTTTTGTTCCGAACCACCCCCTGGTGGTCAGCACACATCATAGTGGGTGATTAAACTCCCAGTCTCCTGGTCAACTCCTGAGGGGACACTTTGTATATTAGCCTTTTATATACATTGAGTGGCCAGATTATTATGATTGCTGAATGCATAATAATCTGGCCACTCAGTGTATGTATATTAGAGGACTGGTGCATGAATTTCTGCATGGGTGGGGGGTTCAAGCCAGCCTGGCCAGGGGGAGTGAACATGGGTGGGTGACCGGCCTGCCTGCAGGTTGAACTCCTGGTCAAGAGGACAATTTGCATATTAGCCTTTTATTATACAGGATATACACTGAGTGGCCAGATTATTATTCATTCAGAGTTCATAATAATCTGGCCACTCAGTATATATACACTAGTAGACTGTAAACTTACTTTTCCCCAACCTTGTAATGACTTTCCCCTGCTAGTTAGGGGGGAAAGAAGTGCCACACAGACACATATTACATATTTAGCTACTGAGCACTTATTCTATTTCAAATGGCTCTGAAACCTCAAGAGCAAGTATCCATTCTCTTTAAAAAGGCGGAGTACAGAAGAAAGAACGTGCTAGGAATCCAGCACTCCAGTTCCCATCATAAACACTGTCCTTCAGGCTGCCAAGGGAGAACTGCTAGCCTAGTCACAAAAAGTACCAGGTCAGAAAAATCATCACATTGCTCTACTGGAAGCCTAACTGAGAGCCTGAGGCAGACAGAATGTTCTTAGGGGTAAAGGGGGTCATCAAAATTTTCTTAGCACCAAAATTTGTTTTCTTCAAAAAAAAAACAACAATTTGCCTTTCCCAAACACATACACACACACACACACAGAGAGAGAGAGAGAGAGAGAGAGAGAGAGAGAGAGAGAGAGAGAGAGAACTAATTATAGAAGAAAAAACAAATGTTACCTTAATAAAATGTGTTAGTTTTTTTTTGTGTCATTTGTCATACTTTTCCAATTCATACAGGAAACTCAATTTAATAAGCATTGATTTAGGTCCCATGATCCAGAAAGTAAAACTGGCTACTAAACCAAAATGTGATCACTGTATATAAACAGAGTGAAAAAAGAATCTGAACTGAAAACCTAAATGTAATGAGGAGAAAATTAGATTTCTTTAATATAGGCAATCTAAATAATTTTCCCCATCTGTGATTTTTATCTTAGTTTCCTATCACATGAAAAAAAAATGTCATTAATTCAATGAAAATCTATGCCCCTTGAAAACAACCCAAATGATTAGGTAATATACTAATTAGCTTCCTAATGGAGAAGGTTTTAATTGAACTATTCTATAATCTTCATCAAAGATTCCAGGGCAACTTCATAAAAGGATGTCAAACCTGGCCCATATTTTATCCCCTCAAAAATAATTCTCAATGCACAGAAACACAGAAAGCTTATATCTCTTCAATGCTGTTAACACTCGGGCCACTAAATTTTCTGATGTCAGCAATCCCCTTCCCACAAATATTCCAAGTATGCATCACCGTCATTCTCCTTTCAATTATGTGGTTTCTCTGCTCCTTTACTGATTGAGTCCAGGCCTCTAGGATAATGAGAAGCATGTGCAAGGAAAATATGCTCTTAAAAAACACATACATCAGTTTCAGTTGCATTATGAAAGGAGGGGAGATCATTTGTCCATATCAAAAGGATAAAAATATAGAGTTTGCTATGGGTTATATAAAGGGGAAAAAAAGATTGGCATCAGTGCCTAAAGTTTGGGGCAGTTATTTTTATCTGAAGCAACACCAATAAGAATAAGAGAGACCCTTTCCAGCTTGGCCACATTTATATTTAATGTTATCTTAATGTTGCTTTTGGGGGTATTTAAGTCCTGACATACACATGGAAATGAGCCATGAATTGTACAGCAAGCATAAATATTCCATCATTAATAAAAACCAGCTGTGTATAAAACACTACAATGGCTGGGTTTCAGTTACTGGCTATCATCAGTATGTGTCACAAGCAAATATTACTCAAAACTTTCTCCTTTCTCCTTTAAAACACACACACACACACACACACACACACAGAGAGAGAGAGAGAGAGAGAGAGAGAGAGAGAGAGAGAGAGAGAGAGAGAAATTTGCTTCACTCTTTTTAATCTTCTGGAAGAGCTTTGAAGAACTCACTAAAGTCTATGGCACATTTCAACGAATGTGTCTTTTTGGAGCAATTTTCATCATCCTATGAGATGCTACAGTCCTCCTACTAGTACTTCAACTTACCACATAGAATGAAAATGTTTAATTCATTATTTTAAGAGCCAAGAGGTTCACTAATACAAATGATAGTACAACTAATTATAGCCAATAAGGCAATGAAGCAAAGGACACTGTAAGAGAGCAAAGCTCATTAAAAATCAAACCTGCACAGGACCCTATAATAAGCCTGCTCTGCCATCATGCAAACACCTTTCCTCCAATGACCTCAAAGCTTGTGCCCAATATGAAGCATGCCTAAACACCTCTGTGAAGTATTAATATCCTTGCTTCCCAGAAGGGTAACTGAAGCTAAGAGCAGCTAATTCATTTACCTTTGGTCACATGGCAAGTCAGAGAGGGTTGGGCAGAGAAACCCAGAGCCTAACTTCAAGTCACACAGTCAAGTGATATTTCATGGAGTGGGGACAATAGTGAAAGTGACTTTACAAATGTGAAGGACAGTCAATAGAGTTAAAAATATTTTCAAAAATTACCTTAGGAGATTTATCAAATATATCCACCTGCATTTTCCCATGAATACATATCATTTTATTTTTTTCATATTTTATTGACTTTTCAGAGATAGGAAGGGAGAAAGATAGTTAGAAACATCAATGAGAAAGAAACACCGATCGGCTGCACCAGTCCTCGAATATATATACATTGGGATGGGCCTGCAACCAAGGTACATGCCCCTGACCGGAATCGAACCCAGGACCCTTCAGTCTGCAGGCTGATGCTCCATCCACTGAGTCAACCAGTTAGGGCGTGAAAACATATCATTTTTAAAATGCCCCTGCACTGAACTTAGTACTAAGTATTAAAAACCCATACTTTACCTTCCTGATCTGATTAAAGAAATCTAATCAAATTTATGATGAGTCACTGGTTTTCAGGAATTAGTCCATCCAAAATTGGAGATCAAACATATATTACAACTTTGCTATCAAAGGAAAATTAAAGGACCCTGTAACTGAACTTTCACTATATGGTGAAGGTGTCAAAGAACACATTATGTGTGAATTACTTTGCTACACCTACATATTTTATATTTAATTGTCTAAAGTCCTTAGTTTCCTTACTATATTTACTCTAATTTAAGTGTATTATTTTCAAAGCTATAAAACAAAATGTTTGTGCTTTCTTGATTTTCCTTTAGCATTCAGAAAATTCCATAGTCTACCCAAATTTGTACCTTCTTGGTGGGATATCATGATACAATGATTTGAGGATCATTAGTGATTTAGACAAAACAGTGGACCCTCATTTTATTTTTGCTTAAAATGAATGATGGAGGAATAACAGAAGGTCAAGGAAGTATAATTAACAGTTTTGCTCGATACATGAGCACCCCTAGATCACACCTACTCTTTCAAAAAACAAACCTGTGGGATTCTTCATGTAAATTCAATCAGGTTCTGATTTCATTCCTCCACACAAGTTTAGAAAGATAAGTCAAAAACAAAAACAAAACATAAGTCATTTCTATGACTCTATGTAAAATCCATGTAAGTTGAGAAACAAGGACTGAAAGGAACTAGAAAAAAATGAAAGCAGGTGAAGTGTTAGGATGATGTAATTCTCGACCAAATTTTGGGCAGTCTCAGTTTTGAAATGATATGTTGTTAAAATACAAAACAGAATGCATTCATATTTATATATCCTTACAGACTTTTAAAAATTATCCAGATGACTACATGATTGTATTCTAATAACTGTTGCACCCCATTCTAGTAGGACTCATTCATATTCACACCAGAAACTGAAGCCTAGGAAAAAAAACATAAACTTTTCATTTTTATTTATTTTTTTTTTTAACTAGAGGCCTGGTGCATGGATTCATGCACAATGAAAGGAAATTAATTAGAAAAAAAAATATTTTAGATGCCGGAGAGGGACCTGAGGAGACTGGCCAGCAGAGGAGGGATTATGGAAGGGCTCCAGGGCATGTCCAGCCCATCTTGCACAGTCCCCATAGGCAAGACCCCAGCAGCAAGTTAACCTATCTGTCAGAGGATCTGCTCCCCTGGTGGTCAGTGCACATCATAGCGACTGGTCAAATGAACAGTCGGACACTTAGCACATTTACTATATCGGATCCTCACCCAAGGATATTTTTTTCTATTGATTTTTAGGGAGAGTAGGTGAGGGAGAGAGAAACATTGACATAAGTGAGACATCAATTGGTTGCCTCCCACATGCGCCCAACTAGGGCCAGGGATCAAACCTGCAACCTTGACCGGAATCAAACCCAGGGGTCCTTCAGTCTGCAGGCCAATGCTCTGTCCACTGAGCCAAACTGGCTAGGGCTGGAAACCATAAACTTTTGAGGACTGGTTCACAAAATCACCCTGTCAAACCTTTACCATTTACAGTGGAGAAAACTCACCAAGGGTGGTAAACTGAGTTAGAGGTGGGTCAAGAGCCCAGGTCCTTGTCACCAATACACTCGCTAAGAAAGCTTAGCATACATAGCTTCTTAAAGTCACTGCTATTTACCTGAAATAATTTTCTGTGCCTTTGAGGTATTCAAATACAATAACTGGAATTAAAATATTTCAGCTATATGGTATAGAGAGTCCCATTCTTATAATTATCTAAGTCTGTAAAGTCTGATTTATTTCCATCAAGTCATACTGGCTACCTTCTCCAAGTGGTTATAGACTACGGCTAAAGGTGGCCAGCATTATTATAAGCCAAAATGATTTAGACAATTAACTCCACACTAAACAACAAAATGATTTCAAAAGCCAACTAAGTCAAACAATAGTAATTACAACAGACATCTAATGTCTTCCTTTCTGCAATAAATATCTTTCAGAGAAGGCTCAGCTATAGTGAATTTTTATATATTAAGTAATAGTTCAAAGGCATTAATTAGGAAAGCTAGTTCTAAAAATAAAAACAAAAACAAAAAACAAAACAAAACAAACAAACAAACAAAAAAAAAAAACCTGTAGTGGATTCTTTTATAAAGCAAATGACCTCCTATTTTTCTTTTTTTTAAAGTCCAGATTTTGTATGTTGTGAGTGGAAGGGGAAACATCCCTCCTTTCTCTGGGTTATAAGGTGTCCAAAACCCACCATGGAGCAGAGTAATGCAGTATGGACTGCCTGATTAATGCTATCTTCATTCCTGGGACCAAATTCCAATATTTGACTTGGGATGGGACTCTAAATTTTGAACCAAAGTCTACCAAACGCAGCAAGGAATGAAGAAGTCAGCAAGACTAAAGCCAATATGTCATAGTAAACCACCCCCAAAAATTATTGGGGACAGGAAATCAATGGAGCACAATTCTAAACAAATTGGTTTAGTCCTAAGCTAATTAATTTGTCAAGCAGATCTCCAAACCCACTGAATCTAATGGGGGTAAGAGGTGATATAATAGATTTGGGAACATTACCCATTTACCATCCTAAAAGGCTTGGCCACAACTACACACACCTCCTCCACTCCTTTCAGCAGTTTTAAGCTGGTCTTAATGGGTTCAAAGGACAATTTCTTTGAGACAGTACCTAATACACTGTTCTCATGCATTCCAAATGCTCAGTCTCCATGGAGGAGGCTACCTGGTCACAAACATTTCCAAAGAGGGAATATATCCTCTACTCATCCTCATTGGTAACCCCCACCACCAACAAAATAACTTCTAACCATCCTGAGAATCCAGGGGGACTTTTTAGAGGGAAAAGGAAAAGAAAACTTAAGAGGAGAGTAAAAGAGTGTGGGAAATTCCTCTTGTCTCCAAATCGGGGGGAAAAAAGCTTTAAAACTGGATCAAAGGAAGAAAGGGGGATGGGGGAGAAGGGCCGCTTAATTACAAAGACACCCTTTTAAAGAAGACTCAGGCCCTGGGAGAGCTCTTAGGAGAGGCGCAGAAGCAGATGTACCCACTTAGAATTCTGGCACTCAATGGGACCTCAAGGTCATAGCATCCATCTCTCTGTTTTCTGAATAGACTGTTCTTAAGCCATTCTAGAAAGTCCGATTTGTTCTTTATAAAACTTCAGATAACACAACTCCACAAAAAACTTTGGTTGTGCATTAGTCTAATAAATCATACTTCATAAACCAAAAATGACATTTCAACTTCCAAATCCAAAAGAGTATTGAATATGATTTTTTTAACTCTCTTCTAAAACCAAATAGGTAAACAGATCCACAACTTCTACATACAAGTATGGTCAGAAGTTTGCTTCACATCTAGACTATGAAGTTAGGAAAAGCACTTTCAATTTACAGACCCAGACTTTTCCAAAGAAAGAAGTATCTTAAAATTAAGTATGATGTAGTGCCAGAAACTGTCTGTAAATGACACCGGATAAACCCATACAGAATAGCTGGGACCTGAGTTATCATCTGTAAATAGATGCAACTACTCTACAACCACCTGGCTATTAAAATATCCCAGGCTAGTTATAAAATGTAGTTTGGTCAGGTCAACTTTTCCCTCCCAGCTGATCTGAAACATGATAGCCTTTAAAATTGTCACCCTGTAATGTTCCTTCTCTCCTTTCCTGCTTTCCTTTCCCCCATTAAAGTCAACCAAAAATTATTTTAAAACATGTCAATAGTTTGTTCCCAAATAAGCAATGAGTTTGGGACATCTTGGTAATAGGTCTTTGAACACAGCCATTTTGTAAGTTTGTTGTGCTTGGCCAACTGGAGATAGGTAGTTGATGGGTGAAGATTTATCCCCCATCCAAAATGGTATCTCAAACTATTCTTAGCTACTAAATGAGGGTGCTGAAAGGTCTAACTGAGAAGGCTTCATAAAGGCTGGCCTGAGAAAGAAGTATTCACAAGCCTAGCTCAAGGAGACTTAAATAACCTTAGCCCTCCATTTTTGAAGATTATGGTAACTATCTTTCTCTCTGAATGGGAGAAGAGGATTATATTTTTTAAAAGTTTTAAAATGTCTCCCAATTTCCATTTTTCCTCGGGGGGGGGGGAGGAGGGAAGAAGAACTAAATGAAACACTCCAAGATGTCAGAAAATTATTTCTAAAATACATGCTAGAGATCAGAAATGCTGTTTCTCAAAAACTTTCCCTTGCCTCTCATTTGATTGTATTTAGTCCCTTGCTGCAAGTTGTTATTACATTATTATCAGTGTTAATTTCCGAGGGATTGCTCACAGCCTACAAAGACTGTCACTTTCCATCTCACTTTTCTTTCTCTTCAGTTTCATAAGTAGCTAAGTCCATCTTGCTGTTGAAACAGCAACATATAGTGACCCAGGCTTGGGACCCTCAAGACACCTGTATGATCCTGCAAAAATAGTCACTGACTTATATAATGCAGATAAGGGGCAACTCCTCCACACCAACACACAGGTAGCGCCTTGACTTTAAGACTTCAAGAATTCAAGGCCCCCAGGGGATGGGAGTGTAAGCCCCCACCCCAACCTTAAGCATTTAGAAGGAATGCATCTAGCAATCTGAGATAAGCGCGTACTTTCCTGCTATGCTAAATGTAGACCTCAAGTTCCCTCAGGTCTTTAATTCCTTTTGTACTTAACTACCTAGAGACCTAACTACAAGGACCCCAGGAGGCAATGAAGTAAAAGTACCATCAACTTGTGGTACCCACTAGCATCTCCATAGGATGGGAAAAGAGCACACACTTTTTAACCAATTTAACTTGCTGCACATGTCGAAAAACTCATGGCCAGCTGCAAAGAAAGTAGAACACGGGTATCCCCACACGCATTTAGGCATTTAGATCGACTCACGCCGAGGACACGATCAAGTTCATGCCACCATGGATTCTACCCCAGTTCCCCGCGAAAATTAACCAGGCGTCTCCTACCCCTGAATGCAAGGAAGACAAGGTGATGACTCTCCGCTCCTTCAAGTGGCTTCGATCCTGGGCCAAAAGCCAGGGATGGGCAGGAGAGAAGCCCGGACTCCTGGCTGCTCCCCTCTTCGCTGCTTCCTCTGCGTTTTCCTTGGTGGCAGTGGACAAGCAGGATACCGGACCGGAGGGTGGAGCAGCGGATGGTCGGAAGCGAGACAGATTGGAGGTGGGGTGGAGGGAGCGGTGAGAACTAAAAGAAGATGAAGCGAAAGAGAGAGGAGATGGAGGAATAAATCAGGGGTCTACCAGCTGGGGCAGTCAGAAATCTCCTCGGAAGGAAGGGGCGTGACTGCGAAGAAGGCAGCTCCTGGGCAAAGGATGGGAGGTAGGGGAGGGGGGCGAATGGGTGGCTTTTCTTCTTGTGGTGAGCGGCTTGGACCGCCCAGGAGCGGGAGGAGAAGGGGGAGGGGGCGGGGTGGACTACGGAGGAGGGCGGGGTAGAGGGCGGGGAAAAAAGGGAGGGAGTTTGCTTGGACCCTGGAGCGGAGGTGGGGGGGGGGGAAATAGGCGGGGCCAGAGGGCGGGGAAGTTTCAAACAATTGAACAGGCCAGAGCTCTGGGCCCTCGCTGTCCTTCACTCATTAACGTGGCACAATTTGGTTACAGTGTCCCTAGGAGTCTACACAAGGACTGAGTGGAAGGAAGGAAAGGGTTCTGCAAAGACTACAATAATTATTTATGGCAACAGCGGAGCGGAGTCGCATGGGAGAGCCAGTACAGCTTCCCGCCCCACAGTAAAAGGAAGAAAAAGAACTAAAAATGCTGAAAAGCAGCTTCTTGCAAAGACTACTTAAAATAATGCAGGAAGGAGAGCGCTGCGCTCCTTCGCTTTCCTGCCCCTTTAGTTTCCTATTATCAGCAGGCCCCCACCCAGGTCGCAGCTCTGCGAGGCACCCTCTTTTCTTCCTACGCTCCCCCTAGCCACCCCCCCCCCCCACCTCCAACTATCCCAAGAAGCTTCCCTGTCCGGCTCCTGTAGCGAGCCGCTCCAAAGGCGGGGGGCGGCGGGGGCGGGGCTCCGTGGAGCCTCCGCCTCTAGGGCGGGCTGGGAGGGCCTTCCCTGGTGGAGGCTGAAGAAATGTAAGTCCCACCCACCATTCTCTTGCAGCTAACGGTTGGTGAATCCTGGCCTAGGACTCGCTTGCGATTGGTGACTTCCGCCGTCGATCTGATTCTTTTGTCCCACCCGCCCTCAAAATTAATAAAACTAAACAAGAGGCTATTGTCTAGCTCTCCTTTCTTTCCCAGCTACTGCTGAGAAGAGAAAGATGAGACGCTTGGCTTCTCAGTCTCCTAAGAGAGTGTGTTGGCCGGCTCCAGTACACCTTTATGGCGCTGTCTGGCCCTCTGGGAATAGGTAACTTTTCTTCCCCTTTAATTCATTAGGCCTCTAGGAGGGAAGGTTTGTGAAGTGTCAATGTGGTGTTCACAATAGCGAAAAACTGATATTGCCTAAGAAACTGGATTCAGTACAGCATCCTGGGGCACTGAAAATCTACCACTTTACACCTGAGAAATGAAAACACAAAGAAACAATGTAGGGGGTAGCAGAATAACATGGAATTTGAAACTAAAGGAAGAACTCATCTGGCTCTAGCACTTACCAGTATCTGCTAGTTGTGTAACTTAAGTCTCTTAACATCTCTGAGCCTTAATTTGCCTATTAAACAAAGGTTGTACGACATACCCTATTACTTTAATGGCACTGGTATATGAAAATAAAATGAACTGTGTGTGAAAACCCTGTAAACCACAAAGCACCTCAAACTTGTATCTGTTTCAACTTGTGCACGTCACATGATGGAAAGTCTCACCTGTGTCTGAGAATCAAATATTTTACTCATCTGTTTTAAGCATTTACATCCCAGGTGTGTAGGTATTGTGACTATATTTTTTAAAGTCAACCCTTTTCCTATAATTTTCAGGGTGGATATGAAGTTGGCTCCCTGCAGAAAGAATAATAAATCACCCCTTTCTAACCAGGGTAGGTGAGATTTCTTTTTTAAACAGCTCTGCAGTGGTGCCACAACCTAAATCTATTGTGGTGCTGGTACTGAAAAAGGAAATCATGCTGTGTATATCAGAAGTGAACTTAAGAAAACAAACATGAGGGAACATTTACCATGGAAACCACCATTCTCTACAGGTCCATATTTCCTAGAAAATGTTAGAAGGAGGAAGCAAGTATAAATGTAAAGAAAGACCTTGACAGCACAAAGCTATTATAATGAATTCTTGCCAATGAAAAATTGACCTCCAAATCAAGTCTGTCTAACTGGGAGCTTTCTGAAGGGACATAGATCAAGGCATGCAAGAGAAAGTGTGCACTTAGGATACAGTCTCACCATGAACAGGGTCGTAGAATATAACTGAATGCAGGAAAAGTAGTGGGCCCCTGCCATGTAGTGAGGTAACCTCATTAAGCAAAGCACTCCTCTAGGACTGCTGAAAGATTCAGAAGCAAAAGCATGGGCAAAATGCATTCTTGGAATGATTCTGTTTATGCGTGAGGTGAAATTATTTGGATGCTTTTTATGAGCAAGGTGAATTGTTTTTGACTGTTAAAGACATGGAGATATCTGGTTTGTAAACCAAGGGAAGATTATTCTCGCCTCACTGAGGAAGATACACATAACTGGAAGCATCTACTCTGCTCCATTTATGAGTGAATTGAAAGAATATCATGAAAATGCCCATACTACCCAAAACAATCTATATATTCAATGCAATTCCTATTAAAATACCAATGGCATAATTCCACAGATCTGGAACAAATATTCTAAAAATGTATGTGAAACCAAAAAAGAACCCAAATTGCCTCAGCAATCTTGATACAGAAGAACAATACCTGTTATACAATACCTGGTATCACAATACCTGTTATCAAACTGTATATAAAGCCATTGTAATCAAAATACTCGGATACTAGCATAAAAACTGGCATATAGATCAATGGGGCAGAACAAAAATCACCTCTTTCTAATCAGGGTGGGTGAGATATCAACCCATCCCTATATGGTTAAGTAATATTTGACAAAAGAGGCAAGAATGGGAAAAGAAACTCTCTTCAATAAATGGTGTTGGGAAAATTGTACAGGTACATGCAAAAAAAATTAAACTAGAAGACTTAAATGTAAGTCTCAAAACCACAAAAATATAAATAAAAATATAAAACCACAAAAATAGAAGAAAACATAGTCAGTAAAATCTCAAACACTTCTCATAGTGTTATTTTTACCAATGTGTATAGAGCAAGGGAAATAAAGGAAAAAATAAGCAAATGGAACTACATCAAACTAAAAAGCTTCTGCACAGCAAAAGGAAACATCAACAAAATAAAAAGGAATCCATTGTATTGTAGAACATGTTCTCCAATGATACATCTGATAAGAGGTTAATCTCCAAAATATATAAAGAACTGATACAGTTCATCACCAGAAAGATACTTCAATAACAAAATGGGCAAAGGACCTAAATAGACACTTCTCCAAAGAGGGCATTCAGATGACATTCAATAGACATGCAAAAAATGCTCAAAGTCATTAATCATCAGAGAGTTGCAAGTTAAAGCCACAATGAGATATTTTGTCACACCTGTCAGAAAAGTCACCACCAATAACAAAAACAAATAGTAAGTTCTGGTGAGGATGTGAAGAAAAGGAAGCCCTTATGCACTGTTGGTAGAAATGCAGACTGGTGCCACCACTGTGGAAAAATAATATGGAGTTTTCTCAAATTTGAAAATGGAACTGTATTTTGATCCAGCGATCTCACTTCTAGAAATATATACTAAGAATCACCAAACACCAATCAGAAATAATATATGCACCCCTATGTTCATAGCAGCATTATTTACTATAGCTAAGATATAGAAACAGCCCAAGTGCCCATCAGTAGATGAGTGGATAAAAAAAAACTGTGGTATATTTACACAATGGGAATACTACAGAGCAAAAAAAAAAAAAAAAAAAAAAAAAAAGGAAGGAACTCTTACCCTTTGTGACAGCATGGATGGACCTAGAGAGTATTATGCTAATTGAAATAAATTAGTCAGAAAAAGACAAATACCATATGATCTCACTTATATACAGAATCTAATGAATAAACCAAACTGACAAACGGAATAGAAAGATGCATGGACACAGGAAACAGACTGACAGCTATCAAAGGGGATTTGGAAGGCAGGACTGGATGAAAGAAGGTGAAAAGATTAACCAAAGAACATCATATATAATAAAGCCTAATATGCAAATTGTCCCCTTGGGCTGTCTTTGAACAGGAGTTCCACTTCCAGACTGAGAGTGCAATCATTCACTATGACTTGTGCTGACCACCAGGGAGTGTCTTGAAACATGGTGAGCATCAGCAACGTGGTGCCCAGGTGGGGGGCTTTGACCTCTTGCTGGCTACCTGGGTGCGGTAGTGATGGGATGGAGGTGTGGTGAGAATGTGGGGTGTCCACAGAGCTCACTCTCACACCCCATTCTACCCTCCTTCAGGACACCGGGGCTCATGCACTGGGGAAGCCTCCCACCCTCCAATGCTCAGGTACCCGACATCTGTGAGGAGCCCCATCCCACACAGGTGCAGTCTCTTCTGGGTGAGCCAGGCCATACCCGCTGGTCAAGCTCCTCATGAGAATGTGAGTTCCTTCAGGAGCTGGTCTGTGATGCAGGTCGGAAGAGAGTGCGTGGCCTGCCCAGCTTCTGTGTGGCACTGCTGGGTGGCCCAGAGGCCCACACTGTGCCTTGGCCCATGGTGCCCAGCCACACTCACCACATCTCCTCTTGAGGACTCGGGTGCCATGACTCAGGCAGAGGGGGGGTGCATGGTGGCCTGGGGGCCAGGTGCTTCCCAGGGCCCAGAGGTCTGCTGGGATCTGTGGTACCCTTCCATGCCAGATACTCACGTTTCAATCACCAGCCAGGCCTAGGGACTGCACCCATGCATGAATTTTGTGCACTTGGCCTCTAATATAGACATAATCCATAGACACAGACAATAGTATGATGATGGCCAGAGGAAGGGAGGATGGGGTTTGGGTGGAGATGGGCAAAGTGGGGGGAAGGGGAAATGGGGACATATGTAATAGTGTCAACAATAAAATAAAATAAAAATTATGCCATTAAAACCCATTATTCCAGCCAGGTTATTCGGAAAGGGGGAGATGGACAGCAGCAGAACTAGGCAGAGTAGGTATATGCTACAGACTACTACTAATCACAATGACAATAGGATACTTGTTAAAATTAACAATGCTGTTAAAATGGTAAAAGTAAAAAAAAAATGTACATGGTATAATTATGATAAATTTGTACTAAAAGAAGTAAAGAGTTCCTTTCTACCACTCTATTCTCATAGTCCTTTTCTATCTTTCTCTCCATGCC